TATTGAGTACAGGATGCTATTTCCATACTCAACATTGTCTAATCCACTAGTATCATAATGTAAACCAGTACTAATACACACACTCACACTACCAATAACCACACAATACTACATAATAGTAATCAGTTAGTACAGTTAAAGTGTGTGTGTGTGTGTGTGTGTGTAGTATCCTATATACCTTGTTTATTGGCCTCAACCAGTGCCTCCTGTAGTGATACTTTGCTCTCATGAGCCACTTGTAGGTCTTCATGTAAAGATTGTATATATCTCTGAAGCTTCATTTCCCTCTCTGTCGGATATTCTATTAGCTGATCCATCCACCATGTTCTGGTCTTGCTGTACAATTGATACTTTTCTTGATAGTTCTTACTAGTGAGATCATTACCATCCAGTACTGACTGTACTATCCACTCACCAGCTTCACTATATACTGAGAGACAATAAGATACATTATATATTTATAAATAAATGTATTTAATTTATAAACTAATGGTATCATTTATAGTGGTTGTAAATACACACCCACACATACAGTGGTATTGTAGTGTGTACAGTATACAAAATGAATGGAAAATGTACGTCATATTAGGAACTGAAATTTACAAATAAAGTACATACTATAAAAATGAGTGGTACATTATTTAATGTAATTATGTATTTAATGCTCGTATCCTTACAATTGATTAATATTATCTTACCTAATTCAATTATCATTATTAGTCTATTAGTATCAGTGATATATTTAGCCATTGGCACCTTCTTTCCTCCTCCAACATCTTTCCATTTAGTCTCTTCATATCCTCCAACAATTACTAGCCACACACAGTGTGGTGACATTGTGACCACTGTGAGTGAGTGATCGTATCTACCAGTAACAGATTCAGGTAGAGGAATCTGTAGATAAAGAGAAGTATACAAGTAATTACTGATACATGATGTTTATACAGTTACTTATAAAAATGAGAAATTGTACCATTTCATATGTAGATGATCGTTACATTTATTTTATTGTAAAATCAATTCTAATCCTCACCATCAACAAGCAAAATAAACATTTTATTTCACATCATGTGAACAATAACAAAATACCGTAGGACGATTAATTTTTGCGAATGCTCATAAGAATTTCCATGGAAATGGTTTAGATAGTTGCTATGGCGATTGACCACGTGTTTATCCCTTTTCCTTACACAACGAAATTCATAAAAATTAGTCTTTTGGACAATGTTTTGAATTATTCGTGTTGTCATGGAAACCACTCAAATTTT